CACACCCCAGGAATTTTTTCCTTTCAGCAGTCTGCTTGTTCTGTGTTCAAGAGTAGAAGAAGTAGGCAAGTAGAACTAGTTGATTGCTGCAGTGAATTTTTAAGTCTAGTAAGACCAGTGTGTGCACTTTCGGTGCCATTTCTCTATTGTAGCTGAATAAACCAGTAATTGGTTACACATCTGCTCTTTACTGTTACTCTGATGAAATATTTCCTGTGACTGAATACATGGTAACATCTGTTACAGAAAGGTAGGTGACAGAACTTTAATTTAACACACTGTAAAATATGCTGTGAGTTTAATTAAACAGGATAACTGAGATACTGAAGTATCTTTGCATTCAGAAAGTAGTAATCACCTATGGTCTAGATGTTTTCTAGGACATGTTTTTCTCCCCTAGTTCTGCTGATTGACTGTCAGAAATTTATTTGGTACTGTTCTCTTGGGGCTTTGACAGAGTGTTGTGTGAAGAACACTATGCAAACGTAGCATTTTCCAAAATGATTGAGCAGAAAGCTCAATATGTCTCATAAGCTCACTTTTTAATAATACAGTACTTGTGAACTGCCACCCTTGTTGGATATAATTTAGTAATACAATGCTCTTCTCCCTTTTCTATTTTTTTTCTTTTTTTCTCGGAACGTATTTTTGTTCAGCTTTTTTTACTCTTGATAGCTAATTTTTAGCTTTTGTGAATATAGCTTCATTTGGTTCAGGAACCAAGAGTCCCATGCTTCCTGGTGATTTTTCATCTTACTTGTAGAATTACTAAGTAGAAGGAAAGTGAATTTAGTGAACTTCTCTTTTCAGAACCCGTTTGTAACACTCAAAAGTTATGATTAACTTCATCTGACTAACAATATATAATGGGTCATTTTGAAGCCCTTTTTTCTTACTTTGTTTGACTGGGATTTGGTGCTTAGCCTTGACTTGTGTTGATATCCCCCCCCCTCCCCCCCCCCGTCATCTGGTGTGTTCTAACTACAAAAGTTTCAAAAATGTGAAAGACTTTGACTGGTTTGTATACTACTGACTGTTTCACTAATCAATATTTAATATGGTTTTCATAGGATATGTAACATGACACTGATATTCTGGACAGGTAATTTTCATTGTTTGAAAACCTTACATAATAAGGGGAATCAGGTAACTGCTAGAAATGAGCACCTTATTTATTTATTTTTTTAGCATCATATTGCCAAGGATCTGTTTTGTGAAATCTACTCTTGAAAAACCTATAGCTTCTTACCGTTGCAATTAGCATCAAAATAATTCTGAAAATGTCAAAGTGAAGTTAATATTTAAAGGGACACTGTCACTTTTTTAAACTGAATTTACATCCTGGTTCTAAAAACCCTTTAATTATCGCTGCCTTACTGAAAATTTATAAGGCTATTTAGTGGAATTCAGAATAATATTAAAGGCAGCGAAGCCAGTCCCCTTCGGCTTCTCCTTCCTACCCTCTGTATGCACATGCCTGCTTGTTGCCTCTTTGGTTGCAGCTTTGCTATGGCTGTGTGCACCCTCTTGCAGAGCCTGGGGAAGAACTTGCTCTCTCCAGAACAGTGCATGAGTGATGTGGTCATGCTGGTGCATGAGGAGAGTGCAGTTACTGTCAATGACACTGGCTGCAGGTGAAGTGCTGCTACCAAACAGATACAGTAACGGAGGTGTTTCTTACTTCATCTTCTCTGTTTGCTTATGAGCTGTGAAAGTAGAAACTTCCGTGTAGTCAATGTGAGAATTTCACCGTGTAAAAATGTAATCTCATGCATTTGACTGTGTCCCTTTAAATTCTGCATGCTAGAACGTATAGCTGCCAAATCTGTACATACTGATACTGAGTGGTGCGGTTGATTGGCTTGAGGGAAGGGATACGATCCGGAGGGACCTTGGCAGGCTTGAGGAGTGGGCCCACGTGAACCTCATGAAGTCCAACAAGGCCAAGTGCAAGGTCCTGCACCTTGGGTTGGGGGAACCCCCAATATCCATACAGACTGGAGGATGAATGGGTTAAGAGCAGCCCTGCAGAGAAGGACTTGGGGATACTGGGGGATGAAAAATCGGACATGAGGCAGCAGTGTGCACTTGCAGCCCAGAAAGCCAATCACATCCAATCATAGCCGGTGGTACAAGACAGACATGGACCTGTTGGAGCGTCTCCAGAGGAGGGCCACAAAAATGATCAGAGGAATGGAACACCTTTCCTATGAAGAAAGACTGAGAGAATTGGGGTGGTTTAGCCTGGAAAAGAGTGGTCTCTCAGGAGACCTTATTGTGGCCTTTAATACTTAAAGGGGGCTTATGAGAAAGATGGAGAGAGTCTTTCTACCAGGGCCTGTAGTGACAGGACAAAAGGTAATGGTTTTAAACTGAAAGAGGATAGATTTAGATGAGATATAAGGAAGAATTTTTTACAATAATGGTGGTGAAACACTGGAACATGCTGCCCAGAGAGGTGGTAGATGCCCCATCCCTGGAAACATTCAAGGTCAGGTTGCACAGGGCTCTGAGCAACCTGATTGAGTTGAAGATGTCCCTGCTCACTGCAGGGGGGTTGGACTAGATGACCTTTAAATGTCCCTTCCAGCCCAAACTATTCTATGATTCGATGAAGTAATCCAGAAAAGGGTATTTCTTGGTAAAGTCCTCTAAAATGAAGTAGCTTGGCAGCAGAGGGAAAATGGAAGTTAACATAGTTAAAACACTGCCTGGTAAGTCATAAACCACATTAACATCTCTGTGTATAACTACAGCTTAGGAGCTGTATCTGGCAGGAATTAGAAATTAGAATCCCCCACCCTCCCCAGATCTTCAGTGAAGCAGTGTTAACTGATTTATCTGATTATATGTAACTATGCGTATATATAGATATAAAACTGTTTAACACATCTGTGTGTGTGCACACAAGAGTTTGGTGCTTTGGGCCTTAAAAAGGAATCCAGTAGGCAGAAGCCAGTAAACTGAAAGCCATTGAAAGAGTGGTTCCCAAGGGAGATAGGAAGGAGGGTGGAATATACATGTGTTTGGGATCTGATCATATTTTGAAAAGAAACAGAAATGTGATGAGCACTGAAAACCTGTTCCTAATTGTTGACCATATGTCCAGGAACAGGAAGATACTTAGTGAAGCCCAGAAAATTGGCAATAACTTGTTTATGGGATGGGCTTTTTTAAATTTCAGTCCTGTCTTCCTATGGCAGAGGAATCTAGCCACAATGAAAAAAGAAATCTAGTCAAATAAGAAACTACCCAATGGTAGTTCTTTCTCGTCTTTCTTCTTTAATTTGTGAACATAGCTAATTAGTTACTACTGATTAATCACACATAAAAAGCTCTGATGGGATTAGGTGCAGGGAAGGACTGTGCAGAGTCCAGAGGAAATGAACAAAATAATTTCAGTGCAGTACAAGATAATTGTGCAACCTGAATTTTATTTTAGATTCACGATGGAATTGGTGTCAGGTTACTGGAACTTGGGTGTTCCAAAAGCTAATTAAAATACCAAGTTTTTTAATGAGAAAATTTGAGGATGGGCATTAAAACCTTAACTAAATCTGGTCTCATTTTTATATAAATGTAAATATCCTTATATATTTTCATTTTGTGATATAAAAACCAAAGCAAATTTAAAGCTGTTTTTACTCATGGCGCATACTCTGTTTTTAGTAAGCTATGCTTTTCCTTGGCTTTATGATATGTTAAAAAGCTGAAAATACCATGTCAGAACCACTGAACTGGTTAATGCCTGGTCTTGTTAATAGTGATGGTGCTCATTCCTAGCTTGAGATCTAGTGTGTTGGCGGATCTTAAATTGGAAGTGGCCCTGGGTTTGGTTTAAATTTTATCTGATCAACTTATTTAAAAGGAAGCTCAGTTGCCTTGTTAGCTTTGCCAACTCTGCTCTCCTATTTCTCTGCAGACTATTGCAGCTATTTTAAGTTGTAATTGTTGTTTCAGAAGTCATTTATGCTGGAGAATGAATTTTTATTCTCAATGTTCATGATCAAAAAATTTTGAGCAATCAGTCTTAAAATATTTGAAATGTTTAACAACTGGTACGCCATGAAACTAAAAATAATTTCTGCTGAATATCAGGTTTAATTTTAAAAAAAATTCCAGTATTTAAATGTTTGTACAAAATAAGATTTTGACAGTAAAGAACATAATTCTCCATGTTTATGCAAGAAATCAAACATAATTTGATTTTTCTTAAACAGGGGAAAGCAGTAGATCATGCATGGTAATATTATTTGGTGATACTGTCAGGTGTTTTTAAGGATATTAAAATGCATATTTGGCTTTAACAAGCTGACAGAAATTAACAACAGCAACAACCTGATAAGTCAGGTGCACTTTCACTCTTCTCCGAAGTTCATGGTCACTTTTACTGTCCAAGACAGTGAAACCATGAGCTGTCAAAAATGGTGGAAAGTAGTTTTCTGTCATTAAAATTAATTTCTGCTTATGTGTAAACAAGCACATCTGTTAAGTTTTGTATACTAACACTTAATGTTGCATAATGCGTTCTTAACCTGACAGTGTCCCTAAATTATCATGTCTGTTTGCTTTCATTTTCCAGCTGGGTTTTAATTTTGCATGCATTTCAGTGAAATTTAGTATGCATAATAATTGTTTCCTGGAAGCATTTTGGGGCTGTGTCTGCTAGTGCTCTCCAAAATGAGCAAGGTAGTGGAATTAATTTTCCTTTTGTGGAGGTTTGTTAGCTAATGAATAAGTGATGCAGAAGTGATTCCACTTTATTTGTGTATATGCATATGTGCTTTTGAATGTAATGTTGTTTGAAGAATAGCTGTAAGTAATAGGGATACCTTCTTTTTAATGACACCCCAAACAACTCCAAAATTTAGTACAACTAAATAGTCTATTTTGAGGGAAAAACCCCTAAACTCTGGTTAGTTTGGCAAAGCAATTTGTAATGTGTGATGCTTGTCCTTAGTTTATCATAGGAGCCTCTGTGAAGCTGGTTTTTTGAAGTAATGCCAATAGAAAGTGGAAGTTGTGCATCTGCTCGCCAAGCAAAGCAGAAACGTAAATCGCACAGTCTTTCAATCCGAAGAACCAACAGTTCTGAGCAAGAACGGGCAGGACTGCAGAGAGACATGTTGGAAGGGCAGGTAAGATAATACGCGGCTGCTTGGGTAACTTCTGTAACTTTTTTATGAGGAGTGTTTTCTCTGCGAAGAAATTAAATACGTTTCAGTAATGAAATATGTCCAGTAAAGCTTCAGGAACAGCAGACTTTCTTGCTTGTAAGTGCTGACTGTCTTTGGATACTATTGACGTGGATGTTGACAGTTTTCAGGTTGTATTCAGACCTGTGGAGCTTTTTATCAGCTTTTGTGTATTCTTACATGAATGATAAAACCACGAAGAAACACGAAGAAACAGCCTGTTTATTTCACTGCACCTCCCTCCTCCCCCTTAAAGTTGAAGGTTGATTCTTGATTTCCTAAGTTTGAATTTGGAATAGTAGTAACCCAGAAATATGAATAAACCAAAATATTTGTTATTATGACTCTGATAAGGAAGGTATTAGTGGGAATGCTGTTCTGCGTTCCTTTCCATAAAGTAAACAAGTATTGCCTGCTTGACAGAGGTGTGAGCTAACTTAAATTTTTGTTTGTGGTTTTCTTTTTTTTTTTTTTTAAATTTGGCTCAAATGAAGGTGTGATCTTCTATGTATTAAACTTAACGGAAAGGACAACCACCACTAACCTGTAATTTTCTTAATCACGTTAGTCTGTGTAGTGGACGCAATCTGGAGCCACTTGGAGTGTTTCACCTAACAATATTGAGATTAACTGTAGATAAGGCTCCTATAGGAAGTGTTTGAAGTAGTGCTGCCAAAGATAAGCAAGCATCAGTTTAAAAACTATTTGTTGTCAAATTGCCTATGCAATGTTAATGCAGGCCTGGCAAAGATGGTGCAAAAATTGATTTTTATCAGAGAGGTGGTTTGAAATGCTAACAGTGTTTGGCTACGCAAAACCTCACTTTCTGGACTCTGCAGGTACTCTGAAGGGAAAACCTTGTGTTTTCTCAGTGTTGTGACAGATTCTTAAAATTTTTTTTTAATTGAATCTGTTATTCAGTAAATTACAGCATTAGCTTTCTGGGAGCTAACAGAGCCCAAGTTGTTGCTTCTAGTCATCTAGAAGTTGGAGAATGTACGTTCTTGGACAGAACTTGGATAGAAAACTGTTCATGCGTTTGGACTATTACAGCCTTACTTCAGGAAAGGAGTGAAGGGCAGCTGAGAGGTCAAGGCATGCTGTCACTTCTGTGTAGTAAACCACGATTTTAAGCTGTTTTAGTGTTTCTTATGAAACTCTGTAATAGTGTATTATGCTGTAATATACAAATGTTTTAAATGCTTCATGTATCATCTTATATAATTTTGTTGACCTTTAACCTTGAACAGCCAGTGGCAGATTCTAGCGAGTAGAAAGTAATAATGCCCCTTCACAGTGGAGATGTAAGCCACGCGAGATCTAGATAAGTACTTCTGCAGATAAACAGATAACATTATTACATGGTATTTTAGTAAGCTAATTTAAATAATGCCAACTTTAAAGAGAGAAAAGGAATTGGATGCATTTTACTATGCTGGTTACTTTAGAGCAGGCTTAGATCTGCTTATTTTTCAGGCTCTGAGAATTAGACTGAAAACCTTTCCTACGTCTCTTTTTCTGTTTTGAAAGTTCTAGGATAACTTAGTTTCTTTCATAACCTTGCTGTATTGAATTATTGGGTAATTGAATCGGAAATAATTCTTCTAACTTCAGTGTTTCTCTTAATAGTGTTTCATTTGTATAGTTTTCTTGTTTAATCAATTTTGTTTCAAGTTGCTTTTAATTGGGATCTGTTTCACGTTCTGGTTGACTGTGAATACATGGGAAAAAGTACTGTCTCAAGTGAGAGGCAGATGAAGATGCAGAAACAAATATCCTAGGGGGACATAAGGAGCATAGTACCACTTCTTTCAGCACAGTGCCTGTTTCAGCCCAGTGCCACAGCTTAAAGTAGCTGTGAAACTGGTATAAAACTGAATTGTGCACAAAGCAGGTGTGCTGTGTGTCATGGCTATTAGTGGTTTCTCTTGCTTTTCTCTTTAAAATTAATGTTCAGAAACAACTTATAAAATTGGGATCATGATAGGCTTTTCTAATTGTTTCTGAAGACAATCATTTTGACTGTGTGGACTAAAAAATGTGAGCAAGATTAAATTCTGGTTGTTTAGATGCTGACTTGGTGGAAGGCGCATGCTGCCCTCTGATGGCTAGTATGCACATGCTTCTTCCTAATTCAGTCAGTTTATAGGAATGGAACCAATTTCTTTTGGTTTGGGTTTGCTGGAAGACTTAAGAACAAAACAAGCTATAATCATCTTTAAACTTGTGTTGAATAATGAAGTTCACTGGAATTTGGGTGGTGTCCTGTGCTAACATTTGTACTCCCATTCTAGTAATGCTGCTTCTTTACTTCCAGACCTGAAATAGTGGTTTGTGCTGTGGCAGAAGCTGACTCCCATTTTCTTTTTTTGCTTGTAGCTGATGATTTCAAGATTTTGAGGTTACATACTTTTGCTTTAAAAGACATAGATGTTGCTGACAGGCACATTCCCTGTATATTTGATAGCTGAACATGGATATATTAATAATGCAGTATACATCATACCATATTAATTTCACTTTGAAATTTGGTAACTTGTTTCCTTGCGTAGATATTTTTCAGTTTTTGAATACAGCTACATTATTTACAAGTTTGTCCAGTAATAAGATGTTGTCTTAATGAGTTCTGAGGTGATGGGTTAGATATGCTACAAAGGAGTAGTTGAGCTTTTTCATTGTTAGGCTAAGGCTCAGTTAAGTGGAAACTTCTTCTAAAAAAGGTTTCTAGCTGTCTACCTAGATAAATTATAAGTGCAGTAAGCCAACTTACATATTGTGGTCCACCAGCAGCTGAAGAATAAAACAGCTGTAGTAGAATTTATGTACGTTGTGAGCAAGGATGGTTCATCCTTTGCTCCATACTTTAGTGGATTAATTGATTATAGTTATTAGACTAATGACCATGTTTTCTCCTTTCTAATTTGCCATTTTTTTAGTAGCAAGGTGTGTTTAAATTTAAAGATGTTTGTTAGTACTAGCTTCTCAATGTACTGCAGTAAGTTGTCTTCTGCTCTACAGACAGTGGTGTGCTCAACAGTGCTTGATAACAGAACTGTTGATATAGTGAGAACCTTGACTCCCAACAGAAATCAGTACTTACTTGTTTTGGATATGGTATGCATTTGTTCAGGGAAAATATGATGCTGATCTCTGTTTTATAAGCAGATAAATAGAATTTAAATAGCTTGCCAACAGAAACTTGTGGTCAAGCTGTGTGTTGAGCTCAGATTATATAAATCCTGTGTTAGTGGATTTATTACATACTTGTTTTTGTGCCTCGGAATTGCTATGTTGATTATGCTGAAGAAAAAAATCAGCCCTCATCTGTGAATTTGCTTCAGACTACTTTCTGTGAAGAGAAGATGCTTGAATAATATCTGGAGAGGGAAGGATTAGAAATTGCAGTTTCCTTCACACTTAGTTGTGGTTAGTGACAAAAATAGGTAGGTGTTAAAAATATGTTTAAAAGGTTAGTTTGTCTCAAGCTTTGGTAATAAGGTGCTATGTGATGACAATTTCCTAACCTAAGGCATAGTCAACTTCTGAATTACTTTGTTAACCAAAGGTATTCTTTCTTCTTGAACTGGAAGCACCTTAACATTGTATTATAAACGTTTTTTCCACATTTTTTCTTTAATGAGTTGTACATGTATCTTGGTTTTATAATTTATCTCTACTAACAACAAAAAAGAACCCTACAGGTGATTTGAATTCTGTCCCTTGAAAGAGAAGAGTATGTAAAATGAATAATTTTGTGATGCACAGTATGTAAAATGAATAATTTTATGATTCACAGAGCTTTTTGTTTTGTGTTCTACATCAGTAGTAGTTTTAATTTCCCTCCTTGATGGGAGATAGAGAGAACTGTTAAAATCAGTTTAAGATTGAAAGGCAACTACATAAAATATATGTAAAGAAAAATATAAACCCCAATATTTTGCCTTCTAGGATTCCAAACTACCATCTTCTGTCCGGAATACACTCCTTGAACTTTTTGGACAAATAGAGCGGGAGTTTGAAAACCTGTATATTGAAAACTTGGAGTGTGAGTATCTATTTTTTTCCAGCAACTTACGAATTGTTTGGATTGAGGATATAGTAGTGCTAATTGAGATGCTTAACTTGTGTAATTACCATAGCATTTCTGTGAGGAGTTTAAGAATTGTTTTGGACTTGTAGCTGAAGATGGGGTTTGTACCATTTCAGAAAAATCACTTTCTTAGCTCTTTGACACAAGCAGTAAGTGCTGATGTGTGTCTTCCTCCTTGACTCTTAGGCAAAGAAGGCAAAGTGGCTGTCTCCTTGTCATTGTAGGCTCTGGTATATACCATGTTAATCTGGCAGTAACTGCGTTCAGCCATTGAAGTTTGTGGCTTTGTTGTATATTTACAGGCTTAATTTTAATGATGTAATATTAGTAAATACAATTGGAAAAGTGTCTTCCTTGAGCAAGTGTAAAATGTGGTGGTTTTGGATCGTACTACTTAGTACATTGCGTAACCAGCACCTGCAACTGTATGAATTCTGAAGTCGAGCACTTGGGTGAAGATTCCAGGTGTATCTGCAAAAAATGTTATTTGTTTAATGACAGTGAAGTTGTACGGTAATGTAAGTGATCCAAGGTGATGTAAGAGGATCCAAAGTAAGCAACACATACAGTAAAGCCTCTGCTCAATTTTCCTTGCTGGATTTTGCAAGCTGTGTTGCATGGCTTGGCTTCTGAATTGTGGAATCTGTCTGGTTTGACTCCAAGTCAAATTTTTTTCACACCTAATCTGTTGCCACAGTTAAAGCAAACACTCATGTTAAAAAAAACAACCAACCAACCAACCAAAACCCCCCAAAAAACCCCAACATTCCTGCATGCTTTTTGAAAATGTCCTGGGTTTTTATTCTCTTAAAACCTGAGATTTGTTGGTTAAAGGCTATCATCAACACTTCACACTTTTTTAGTGACAATTTGCACAACTGAGTTCTCGGCTTCCTGCGGAGAAGGTGGCTGGTAGCAAGAAAAGTAGGGATTCCCCACCCCAACAAAAATGTTTGTCAGAAAACAAGTGGTGAAGTTGTCTGTACCCTCCAGAGTATGATTATTTTCCTTCCATTCCATTTCTGTTTCTTCTGCATCTTCCTTCTTTACGTCACAGTTCTAGTTCACTCCTAGCCTTTGTGATCTCTTCCCACCCCCCTGACAATTTCTAAATTTTTCTTTTCTGGTGCTCAGTCTGTTATTTATTGTTCTTGGTCTAATGCCTACATTAGTGTTGCGGTTACTGTACGTAGAGAATCTCAGGTTTTTCCTCTCTGGCTTTTCATACGTTCCCTTTCCATTGTTACAACTAATTTCCAGTTTCTTCCTTTTCTTATCCCTTCCAGGCTTCAGTGTTAATCCTTTCAGGCAATTCTTGTGTCTGCCTGGCTTGTTTGTTTCAGTCATCTGTTACTACAAGCCTGTCTCTTTGTTTACTTCTCTTGCATATTGTCTGTGTTTTATAAAAGTTTAGGTTTATGTGACTGGGAACACAGGAAAGAGAATCTTGCTCTGCTCATTTCAAGAACTTGGATGTGGTATGGAAGTGTAACTGACTTTTCTAGTGCTTAGAACTGAGACTTCAGTGAATTTCTCAGAAATGGCAAGAATTATACTCCTGATGGGTCACATTCTCCCACATTTGAAAGCTTGGGGGTAAATGACTTCTATAAAAAAAAGTCCTAAGAATTTGTGGAATGACAGACCTACGCTTAAGAACAGTGAAAAACTGCTTGGTTAAAGCCTCTCAATAAGATTTCACCTGAGGAGAACGCTTAAAGAGTATCAGCCCAGATTTTGAGAAAAAACTATAAGCCACTGAAAATGTTCTTTATAAAATGAAGTTGAGCAACTTTAAACCAGCTCAGCCACTGGAAATCATTTATGAATACCTGATTTGTTTTAGCTATGCCATCACTCTGTCTTGTGGTGAGAGTTACAAATAATTGACAGAAAAGCATATTCTTGTTACAAATATGTGCTTTGTCTGATGTGCAATGAAAATATTTTGATGGTATTTCGTGTTTCTAAAACACTTGAATGTAAAATGCATATGTCATTCTACATTTTTTTAATGTATTTGAAAGTATAAGAACATACATTTGCTGCACTACCTTTCTTACTGAAACTCTAACAGTAGGCAGGTGTTCAGGAAATAATACTATTTTGTGATTAGTAAAATCTTTGTCAAGAAATGACATACTAATTCTGTGGATAAAATATTTATGATGTTGCAAGTTTTCTGTCTTCTGTTGGATTTAATTCAATACAGGTGTGCCATGTATTTCAGAGAAGCTGTTTTGTTAATCCTTAGCCACATTTATTAGTAAAAGTAACAGTAATTAGAAGCCACTAATACTTTCTTTGGAATCTGGGTCAAGGTTGATATCTGGAAAATTCAGCATGAGTCTTGGCTTACGTCTTGGTGAGACCTGCTTTTATAAAATCATAGTTGATCGCTTTTCCTGTCCTTAGCATAAAATACATTACTTACTAACCATAACAATTCTTAAATAGTATGATAATGAAATTGTTAATGATATTCAATTTTTCATGTTAATGTGAATTTTTGTTATTGTTAGTGCGCAGAGAGATTGATACACTGAATGAGCGTTTAGCAGCCGAAGGACAGACAATTGATGGAGCTGAACTGAGCAAAGGACAACTGAAAACAAAAGGTAAGAGAAACACAAAGAATCCTAAACTAGTATGTTTTAATTTATTTTTTGTGTACTTTGCTGGCCAAAACTTAGAATCTTATTGAAGGGAATTAATACCAGTTACTTATACAAATAAGCTAATGCTGTATTTGAAATATCTTCCTTTGGATTTATTTGTCTCAACAGCCAGTCATAGTACCAGTCAGCTTTCTCAGAAATTAAAGACAACTTACAAGGCATCTACTAGCAAGGTATGAGACAAATTAAACCTCTACTTATCAATGTGTACTAACATGGCTGTCTTTAAGTTGTAAATTTTGGTTTCTTTAAGCTGAGTAGTGCTGTTCTTTAAGTAAACCTGCCTCATGAGGAACAGTACTTTTGTCTTGGATTATCAATTACCCATTACTTCAACCACACTATATGACATTTTTACAATAATTGCTTGCCTTTTTTAAAGAATGAATGTTGGAGGGGAGGAGGGGAGAGAGTGTGTGCACACATGTGTATGTGGGATTATTCTTGTAAAGAGAACTAAAAAAAAATTCTATTTCATGAGGGAAATAGAGAACTTAGTAGGTATTGAGTTTCTGAATAAAGATTTGGGTATTGCAGTTGAAATGGGGATTTAAGTAGGCATCTGTGTATGTACTATTACAGGTTTTGTGGGTTTTTAAAATTAATTTTATTTTTTAGCTATGAGACTAGAATAGTTTGTTTCCTTTATGTTGCAAGCCTTGCATATTAGTAGCTAGCTATCTTTTTTTGCCTGGTCTCTTAGCACAGTTACCCTTTCTGGTGTTTTTCATCTTGCACATCTGCATCTGTCTGGTATTTTTGTTTTCCTCCTTCTCTCCCCATTTTCAATTTTCTTAGAGAGTTTACTTGCTGCTCTTCTTGCCCTACCTCGTTACCCTTCTGGTGTTTTTCATCTTGCACATCTGCATCTGTGGTATTTTTGTTTTCCTCCTTCTCTCCCCATTTTCAATTTTCTTAGAGAGTTTACTTGCTGCTCTTCTTGCCCTACCTCTGGGTCATTCCATGATACATTATTAAGGGTAAATGAAATATGAGGAAACCATAGTGGCATCTGGTATGTGAACCAACTATATAAGAATCTCTGTGCTGACCTGTATTGCAGGCTAATGTGTGGTTATGGAAAGACTGCAGGTGTCTTGGAAATACCATCTGTTAAGTAGTGTGAAAGTTTGAAAGTTGAGTAGTGTGGTGAAATAATCTAACTTACTGGGTTTTATTTGGACTCCTTTTTATTTTATTGTTTCTCAAACTTTCTTTTTTATTCTTGCCAATCTGATGCATAGAGGTGTCTCTCCCTTTTTCTTAAGAGTTAATGACTTGCGAATTTGTTAATGAGGCCACTTAAATAGGGACAATATAGTATTAGTACACCTACTATGTAGTTATGAATTAGTACCTTCTCTAGTGTAGTGTTGGGGGTTTTGTTGGTGTGGTGTGGGTGTTGGTGGGTTTTTTTTTTTTTTTTTTGTTAGGTTGGTTTTTTTAAGGCTGGTGTTAAATGCTTATCTTCTTTCACTTGCTTGCAATGTAGTGCTCGTATTCTTTCCCGGGCAAGGCAGGTGGACCTCGCAACTTCAGCGTGGGAAGCTGGGAAGTATGGGGTGGAGGCTCCTGGGTAACTGCTTTGCTTCCCGGTGTTGTGATATGCATGCACAGCAAAGTAGCCATGAGTAGTGGAACATGAAGAATTTAATACCTTATTATAGACATCGTACATATCTGTTATATCAATCGGTAATCAACAGATGTTTGAATGTGCTGATATGTTTCTTTCCACAACTTTGAATCAGAGTTTACTGGGGGGTAGAGAGGAGAGCTGAGGAGAATGATAAAGTTGAGAGCATCTCTCTCCGGTGTGTTCCTTGAAACCTTTCTGGACTTAATGGGAGTGGCTTTATTCGACCGCTTCTTCTTTCCTGCACAGAAGAGTCAAAGCTGCAACCTTTTGTCTCTTGAAGAGACTATAGCCAAAAGTCAGGAAAGGCTGTAACTAAGTTTCTAACAAACTATGATCTTTCTGGCTGTATCCTGGCTGGTTGCAGCCGGAGTTCCCTAATACATTATCTGAGAAATGACATTTGAAGAGTTTTAAGAGTTTAACAGCTTTGAAAGTATTATGCCTGTATTTATGAGCATTGAATGAATAATGCTGTTCACCAAAAATGGGTTGTGTTCCAAACTCAGTGGGGTAGTGGATTGCAACTTTTCTCTTCAGCTCGTCCTTTATACTGTTACTGTATGCCTAATTTAAAACTTGGCAGAAGTCTTTTTTGTAATTTTTTTTTTTCTTTTTTCCTTGTGGGTAATTAGAAGAGACTTCAGTTTTACAAACCAATTGTTTTGTGTAATTGCACACGATTACATTTTTCTGATTGCCAGCCTATAAAGAGTTTAGGTCTGTTCTGAAAAGAGCTTTCAATATTTGCTTGTTCTAATGAGAAAGCTGACACTTGACTGCTTTAATATTGGTAAAATATGCTAAGACTAAAGCAATCTGTTCATTCTCTTGGGGAAAATGCTGAGGTAAACATGTTTAATTCAAGTCCTTCATAGAAAATTCCGATACCTGGATACTTTTCACCCCTTAGCTGAGTTAGGAGTCTGAATATTAAGCTGGCAAAACTTGTATCAGAAAAGGATGCCTTTAGCAGCAGGGGTTATCCAACAGTGCCCAAATCCTGAAGAGAGAGAGAGTTGATTTAGTGCTTGGTACTCTAAAAATAGTTTTTTGTATATGTTAATGGACAAGATCCTGTAATTTAACTGCATTTGTTTGTAGATGCAGGAATCACTATGTGAAATTCATGTTTTGATGTTGACAAAATGTTATTGCTGATGTTAACAATCCCTGGCTATGACAGTTGTCAGGAAAACATTAACATTTTATACAGAATCCTAAAATAAACTGAAATGATATAACGCGCTCCATCATAAACTAACTTCCAGCATCTCTGATTATTTTGGATCAGGAAAAGGACTCTTAAAGGAAGGTATTTCTTCACCCAGCATTTGAAGGGAATAAAACTTTTTGGAAGTGTAGTTTTTGAGCTCACTGCTTAATCTCACTCTGCAGGAAATTTGTTCATTAGTCACAGTGTAATGCTGCTGGCCTGGTCCTGACTTGACCGAGTTTTCATTCTTATTTCTAATGTGTCCTGTCCACTTAAGAGACATTTTTACAGAGTGTTTCAATTTGTTTGCCATGTAATTGTTTCCATTTGTGTTCAGTTTTCAATTGTTTACATGGTAAACAATTGTTTCCTTACTAACAGATCTCTTTATAGAAGGAAGTACATGAAACTGTATGGATTTTAAGAAGACAGACAAAGCTGAAACACACTCAAGATATGATTGCCCACTTATTTGTGTTTGTATATGATAACCCGAGATCTGCTGAAGTTGTTTTAAGAATTTTCTGCAGTGCAGAGGCCTCTTTTTAGCAAGTTGCATGTTATTTAAGTATTTCCTTTCCTTTCTTGGGAAATTGTTCATGTATGGTTAAGGAACCAAGAAGTAATCCAGGCACTATCTAGTTTATCCATTTGCTGATGTGTGAAGTGAGGGACAGCAAAAAAGAAAGAAGAAAAAAAGAAAAGACGTGTAGAAAAAGTCTGCATTAAATAAATACCTATATCTGGATATTTAGTGTTAGATAGTGTTCTTGAACTCTTATCTTCCATGTGTTCATTCAAGACTGCTAATACTCCGAAAGGAGTTTTACAGCCTTGCCATTAGATGATCAGTGGAACCACTATCCAGCAGTTTTGGAAAATCTGTGCTTATTGATGGGTAGGAGATAGTTTCTCCTAGAAAACTTTTGCAGGAAGATTTGACTCAACATTAGAAAGACAGAATGCAAGTACAGTTTGAGTGTGGGGTTGAGAGTTGAAAAACTTTTGTTTTGGAAGTTTGGAATTTGAGCTGAGCGCTATATTAGTCCTTAACTGTTCACTTAATTATGCTGTTCCACTTCTCATAATTGACTCCATTTAGTTTAAGGACTATATTCAATGTGAAAGTTGCATCTGTAGGATTGTATTCAAGGCCTATGGAACCGTGTAGTATGGTTGAACTAATGAACTTTACCATTAACCCATTTTCTTTTCATTGCATCCTTAATGATTGTTCCTTCTTCTGCTGTGAAACCGAAATGTGTATTAGCTGTTAAATTGGAATTCAAATAGGGCATTATCATTTCATCATTGGAAAGTTGACATGCTCAGGATTTGGAATGCTCTTGCAGATATTCTTTAACTTTTAAAAACCTTTGTGGAAGTAATTTGCTTTAATGACATACTTAAGACCTTCTTTTTTGATACCAAAAACTAATGGGATTTTAACCTTAGTTTATTGTATCTGACATGTAGACTTAATTAATTTTCTAACTTTTACTAAGCTGTAGATAAGTCTTAATGTGATTTGTGTTGAAGCATTTAAAGGTTTTGACTTAATCGGTCAGATAGATACCTGCACATAATTGCATGCAGAGGAAAACATGGACAAATGGAAGTTTTCTTTTTGTTTTAGCTTTAACAAAGCTTTTCAGATAGTCTTTCTCAAAGAACAGTTATGAGCTTCAAGACTTGTGGGGTAAAAATAGGGTATTTTTAACAGTGGTTTTGCTTTTTGAAGTCATCTTTCACCACTCTTGATTTCAGCTGTCTCTGGAAGTGTTCCAGCAAGACAGTTGTGGTTTGGTTTTTTTTTTTTTTTTTAATATTGCACTCCCCTTTCATCTGAAAATGCAGAATTTCTTCATTTCAGTTCCTTTTTGTAGAGACTGAGTATTTTCAGCCTTCCTGTACTATAGTGCCTTGTAGTTTTGCCATTTTGCTAGACTTTTTCTTCCTTTCATTTAGTATTACTTATGCACATACTAATTTGGATTTAGTGAGTCTTCTCTGTTTTCCCTTGATAGCATTGACTTTGAGGGAATGTGCTTATCAAATGTTAGATGAATTTGACATATCTTAAAAAAAAAAAAAAGCTTTATTACACAAATAAACTAATAAATGGCATATGCTCTAAGGTTAATGTTTGATTTGGTTAGTTTTATGCAGTTTTGAAGAAAACCATCAGCGAGTGTTTTAAATGGGACTGTTTCTGGATTTTGCTAGAGTTATGTAATAAGTACATTTTTTTCAAAGACATTACACTGGATAACATGGACCGTCTTTAAGTTATCAGATGTACTTGTTTGGGAATAGGCAAGGAAAGTTTTTAGATTTTTTGGTTTTGTTGTTGTTGTTTTTAAATTATAATCCTTTACCCAAACTGAATGGGAAGTGCATACTGCATTTGTAAAACTCATTACTCCAATGAGATTGCGTTATTGTAGTACAGAATAGTTTATCTTGTGTTCTGTAAAAAGGTGTGGGGGGGTATTATTAAAAAAGAAAGCAAGAAAAAAAAAGAAATTAAGAGGTACATTTGCATCCAAACTCACTTTCGTACCATCAAATGTCAAATTTTGACAGTAGCGAACTGTCAGAACACTGAAGAATTATTGTGAAAAAGTTAGTATCTATTTATATTTGTGAGATAATTACTTAATCTTGGGTCAATGTAGAAAAAAAAATGTTGGTGTCTCTGCTATTTCAGATTGTATCCAGTTTTAAAACTACAACATCAAGGGCAATCTGTCAACTGGTAAAGGAATATGTTGGCCACAGGGATGGTATTTGGGATGTCAGTGTCGCGAAAACTCAACCAGTGGTGTTGGGAACTGCATCTGCTGGTAAAGTTTTGTGTTGCTTGAATCTTTAGAAAATTCTGGTTTAGTCCCTAAGCTATAGCAAATGTAGATCAAAAGCATACTGGAATACTTAGCTCCACACTGAAAAAGTCGATTTTAAAAAGTTCAGTAGCTGAAAAGTTCTTAAATTGCATTTTCCTTGAAACACATTTAACCTTTAGAAGGTTCAGGCGTCCTTGCTGATCTTTCTAAAGTACGTGCCAGATAACTTCCATGCAGGCCACACTCTTCCTAGGATCAGCTGTAGCCTGTTGGGTGGGTTGGGGAGCTGCTTGCTTGGAGAGGTCTCTCACACAGGATACTATACTGTTGTATACAGAGATCCCCACAGACTTCCTACTGTAGTATTGTTTAGCCTTTGTTTTATAGAAGTCGTAGACATAGTCATAGTTTGCACATTCTTGTATTCTTACATTCATCTGGCTTTTGCCTAAGGATCTAGGGGCAACTGAAAATCTTAATTTTCAGATCTTATGTAACTTACTAGATTCCTTCCTCTCTACTTAAGAGAGGGAACAGGGACTAATGAATAAGTCACTAAATCTACTGCGATCCAAAAATTAATCTAGTATCTTGTGTGGATTTGGAAAATTATTAGGGAAATAAACGATAACCAGTTAGAACTGGTCAGTTTGAAGTGACAGTCTTTTGAAACTGGGACAGAATCTGAAGACCTTTACTGGACGTAAATATTATGGACCAGAAACCTCTGCTTTGTAAACTGAACTGTTAACCATTTTTATGCGTCCACGAAGGGGCACATTTTATCTCTGTGTGGGACATCTTATCTTTGTCCTGATTTAACTTGGAAACAGCCATTCTCCAATTCAGCATTAAGATTGTCCCCACTTACAAATACTTACATTATTTTATGGTGTGGCAGGGTAAAGGAGTGGCATTGGGAGTGATTTCCTTTAAGTAAGTTTTCATAGGGTCTGCAGTAACCTATATGCATTTGGGACTTCTATGCAGGAATTAAGTAGCTTGTGCATAGAACTCTTGTTTGTAGTGACTGCCTGACTTTCACCACTGAATGCTTTCTGTGTTCTTTCTGAATCTCATGATACACAGTTCGAACATTATACATAAGTATGTAACCAAGTTAGAAAAAATATCAAAAGTAGAATTTGCCTTTCAATACTTCCTGCAAATTAATCTGATTGGGACAGCACCTTCACTTTTTTTGAGAGATGCATATTAAGTTATAATGATAGGAAGCTTTTATATTTTATATATAGGGTAATAATCAAGCGGAGTTGGTCTTTTCTACATTTGAAGTCTATTTCATATGGTATGCTCTACATTCAGAGATAACTTGTTTGTTGAATCAGTTAAAAGTGAAAACCATACATTTGTAACTATTTACAGCTACTTTTTAATTAATCTTTGTAGATCACACTGCTTTGCTGTGGAGCATAGAAACAGGGAAGTGCCTTGTCAAGTATGTAGGGCATGTTGGATCAGGTAAGATAAGGGTATGTTGTGAAAACTGGAAACAGTGTGTTTGGGAGGGGGGAAATGTGTTTTGGACTGCTACAAAAATGTTTACTGTGGTTTCACTTGCAGGTTTGCCAACACCATTAACAAGTCAATTGTGAAGTTCCAGTAATCCTCATAGACAGAATGTTTTGTACTATGATTCTTTCTTAGAGGGGCGTATTAAGACAGTTCTGTAAATGCTAAATGAATAAACAAGTCCATATAAAGAAATTTACAAGCACAGTTACGACACTCAGAACTTAAATGTGAGAACTCATTGAGGTCTCATGCATATGCAGAACAAGAGAAGCATATATAATCAGAAATGAGCTGTTTTACAGCATCTGTGTTATATTTGGGATACAAGCCACAGATGCTGGGTGACCATCTATTTGCACTTCTTTGTTTAATACATGATCCCATATATAATTTGTTGCATAGTATTAAAATCTTGTTTTGAAGACAGTTAATTCAATATAGGCATTTATCTTCCTCTATACCAGTATAAATACGTCGGAAACAGTGTTTTTAAACCCCTCCTTGGGTGGAGAGGTGCAGTGCAGTAAGTGTTTTTGATGTTAATCTTAATTTTTGGTGTCCAACTTGACAAGCACCTGATTAGCCCTCTTCTGTCTTAGAATGGGTTACAATATAGCGTTTTATAGACCAAAGGCGTAGAGGTTTTCCATAGCTTTAACTTGTGGTTGAGAGTTGAGCACTTTGAGTGATTGTACCCTGGAGTGTAGAGTCGTGCACCCAGAAAATGAGGAATGCAGTTCTTGACCTGGTATGTTTGGTTAAGTAACTCAGCTAGCACATCTCATGAACTTTGTGGCAAAGATACAAATAGAGTTAAGTTCCCCAGACAGTGGTCAGCTGCTTCAACTCTAAGTTCTACTTCTTTTTTCCTGCTATGTGATTTCTAGCTCCTACAGCACAAAGACACTAATAGATAGATGCATAGAAACAACAGGTAACACTTTAATTTGTTCAGATATCTCAGGTTGCTCACTGTGTGGAGAGGGTACCTTTAGCCTCCAGAAAGTCACATTTAAAAAATCCAACCACTTGCATTTTCATGCTGATAGTTGTTTTTTTTTTTTTTTT